CTCCTCTGCTGAGATGGACCCCCAAGACAACGAGGACACTGCCAACTCTCCACACTCATAACAACCCCTGGTGCTGGAGACGGGGACTGAAGGGAACCCCTAGCACCGGGATGACTAGAAGAAGAACCTGGCATGGAAGAGCCCTGAACTGATGGAGCACGGGACGAACTCTGGGCTGGAAAGGCACTAAGTGAGGAATGGCCCTGATGAGAACTGTGCAAACCATGGCCCGACGATGACCCACGATAAAATGGGCGGGCTGACTGAGCATATCTGAATGGACGGCCTCTACCGTGCTGAGACTGACCACCATGAGGAGCACAGCTGAATCCACCCTGACCAGGAGGCCTCTTAGCCTCCCTCTCAACCCTCTCCTGACCACGAACCATCTCAATCTGTTGAGATATGTCAACAACCTCATCAAAGGTAGCACCATATACTCTCTTCTGGTTATAAGCAACTGAAGCTGAAAACTGAGGCCATCTATAACCTCCTGATACTCTCTCGGTATGTGGGAACCAACCAGACCGCAAGACGAGCCAACTCGGAGAATCGCATCTCATACTGTGTAACAGACCTATCACCCTAACGAAGCTGCTCGAACTGCCTGCATAGCTCCTCTCGGCGAGACTGAGGTACAAACTTCTCCAGAAAGAGAACAGAGAACTGTTGCCAAGAAAGGGGCACTGCGCCAACCGCCCTACGCCTCTAGTAAGCCTCCCACCAACTAAGTGCAGCCCCGGAGAACTGGAAATTAGTTAACGAGATCCCACTGGTCTGCAGAATACCTGCGGTCCGAAGAATCCTCTAACACTTATCCAAGAAACCATGTGCATCCTCACCCTCAGCATCACTAAATGACGGAGGCTGAAGTCTACCAAACCTCTCCAATCTGCGCTGCTCGTCCTCTGGCATAACAGGAGCTACATAGTCCTGAGCAGTTGCAACCGGCTAGGCTGGAGGTTCCCCCAGTGTCTGAAGTCCCTGAATAACCTGCTCGGGTGTACGAACGGCGGGAGTCTGAGTGCCTCCCCGACCTGAGAAGTAGCTGATGTAGTAGAAACTGCGACCGCCTGAGCAAGACTAGTGCACACGGTCAAGATCTGAGCGAAGGTCTCCTGAAGACCCGGAATAACAATAGGCACAGCGGGTGCCTGAGCTGGTCCCGCTGGAGCATCCCCCACTGGAATCTTATCATGAACTGGGGCGGCCCTAGCTGTTGTGCGGGCTACACCCTTGCCCCTACCACGGCCTTGACCGTGACCTCGGCCTCTAGTGGCCCTAACTGGTGGTATTGGTGGTTGTCCGTCCTAACTGGTAGCGCGTGTCCTCACCATCTGTTAGAGAATAGAATAACATAGATTTTGTTACCAGAATCAACATATTCGCACGACAGGAATTCAAGAATATGAAGTTTTTCCTAAATGTTCTGCAGCCTCTCGAAGATAAGTATAGACGTCTCCGTACCGATCCGCAAGACTCTACTAAACCCGCTCATGACTCGTGAGACTTATGTAACCTAGGCTCTGATACCAACTTGTCACGACCCTAAAACCGACCCGGTTTGTGATGGCGCCTATTGTGAAACTAGGCCAGCCAACAAAAATCGCAAATCAAACTAGTATTTCATAGAAGACATTTTAATTTATTTAATTTTTAATATATCATAACATGGGTCTAAATAACAAGTGCGGAAAAATAACACAAGCCCGACATCGGGGTGTCACAAGTCACGAGCAACTACAAGGTCGGTCTAAGTACAATAAAGGCTATCATAGTCCGGAAATAAATATACTAACAACAGTCTAAGTAAGATAAGAAGGAGAAGTGCAGGGCTGCGAACGCCAAACAGCTACCTTGCCGACTCCGAAAGACCTGCTGGAAGAACGATCAGCGCTCACTATCACGACCAGCAACTCCTGGATCTGCACACAAGGTGCAGGGAGTAATGTGATACGCCAACTAAGTAAGTAATAAGATTAAATGAAAATTGAGCAGCAAAAAATCAGAAAATTCCACGTCATAGCACTACAGCAAATACAGTACATTTCCAAAACAGTATAGAAATCATTTATCTCATTTAAAAATCCAAGTTGAGTGAATTTTTTCCTAACAGCTTCAGCAGAGAGCAATGAAATTTAGAGTAAAAATGATAAAAGTCATAAATAGCCCCTCGGGTAAGACATGTATCATAAATCGCCCATCGGGCATAATATCAACAGAACCAGCCCCTCGGGCTACCTCACAATCACTCGTAATCAGCCCCTCGGGCAACAACATATCACTCGCTCTGGGTACCCGCACTTACTAGGTGTGTACAGACTCCGGAGGGGCTCCTACAGCCCAAGCGCTATCACAAGCCATCTCGTGGCATAACAAAACAGGCCCTCGGCCTCTCATATATCACTTAACAGTACAACCTGCTGCGGCGCGCAGCTCGATCCCATGATATCCTCATAACACAGGCCCTCAGCCTTACTCAGTCAGAATACCTCTCAAGCCACTCGGGCTATTAGTAAAACAGGATGCTCATTCGAAATATCATTTATGTATCAAATCAGAGTAAATAAGACTGAGTTATGAAATCAGTAAAACATAGAATGACTGAGTACAATTATTAAATCAAAATAGCGAGGAATTTCAATAAAGAAAGCCCCTAAGGGTCCAAATAGTTGGCACGAGGCCCATGTATGGCATTCAGCCCAAAACACAGTAATACTTTCTAACATAAGGCAATATCAAGTAGTTTCAGTCAAATACGCAACTTAATAGTTGCTACGGGATGGACCAAGTCACAATCCCCAACGGTGCACGCCCCTCACGCTCGTCATCTAGCGTGTGCGTCACCTCAAAATAATACGACGATGAGAAATCCGGGGTTTCATACCCTCAGGACAAGACTTACAATCATAACTTACCTCGAACCAGACAAATCTCTAACCCACGATGCCCGTGCCTCTCGACTCGGCCTCCAAATGCTCCGAATCTAACCAAAACTAGTATATTATCATCTATATAAGCTAAAGGAATGAATTCCACACGAAAATAATCGAATTAACTCAAAAATCCCGAAATTGGCCAAAGCCGACCCCCGGGCCCATGTCTCGGAATTCGACACAAATCACAACACTAGAATCCTTATCCCCTCACGAGTCTATACATAACAAAAACCCAAAATCGGACCTCAAATGACCCCTCAAATCCCCAATTAAAGCTCTATAAAATTCAAGCCCTAACTATCAATTTCCACCCCAAATTCCCCACAAATTTCATGATTAGGTAGTGGAAAAATCATCACAAACACCAAATACAAAGCCCAAGTAACTTACCTCACTGAAATTCCTAAATTCCTCCTTGATTTCCCGGCTTGGAGCTCCAAAATCGCACAAAAATGGTAAAAGAATGGCTGAAAATCGCGAATGGGCATTTGTATACATTCTGCCCAGCACTTTTGCACTTGCAGCCCAATTCACGCACCTGCGGGCCGCTTCTGCGGTCAAAATAACGGCATCTGCGGCTTTAACTTAAGTCCCTAGCTTCCACACCTGCGCCCCAGGCCTCGCACCTGCGGGCTCGCAGGTGCGGTCAACTCCTCCGCTCCTGCGACAAACTCCGCATCTGTGGTTCCTTCCCGCTCCTGTGATCATCGCACCTGCGGTCCCCACTCCGCAGGTGCGGAAACAACAGAAGCAGCAAAAATTTTGCAACACCAACTCAACTCCAAACCTTCCGTCAACCACCCAAATCCATCCCGAGGCCTTTGGGACCTCAACCAAACATGCCAACTAGTCACATAACACCATTCAAACTTATTCCAACCTTCGGCGCACTCAAAACAACATAAAAACATCAAATCACCCTCGGATTCAAGCCTAAGGATTCCAAAACATCCGAATTCCGCAAACGATGTAAAAACCTATCAAACCTCATCCGAAAGACCTGAAATTTTGCACACACGTCACAAATGACACAATAGACCTACTCCAACTTTTGGAATTACAATCCGACCCCGATATCAAGATTTCCACTAGCGACCGGAAAACGCCAAAATTCTAATTTCGCCAATTCAAGCCTAAATCTACCACCGACCTCCAAATTACTTTCCGAACACGCTCCTAAGTCCCAAATAACCTAACGGAGCTATCCGAACCATAAAAATCCAATTTCGAGATTATTTACCCACAAGTCAACTTCCGGTTGACTTTACCAACTAAATAACCAACGTAAGAGACTAAGTGTCTCATTCCACCCTAAGACCACTCCGAACACAACACCACCAACGCGATATGATGAAATACAGCTGAACAACACACAAAGAAGCAGAAATAGGAAAAACGGGGCGGTAACTCATGAAACGACCGGCCGGGTCGTTACATCTACTAAACCCATAGCTATAAGGCTGGCTCTGCCCATGTGTAAAGTGAAGATTTTTTATCTTTTGCTATTTTTTTCTCCCTCTTATAATATTTCCCATTTCCTTCGTAACAAAATACGCTTTCTAAAACTCATACTATGCAAGTTGATTTAGCATACAGTTATACTAGTTAGCGATACAAAAATTAGCCAGCTTAGACAAGACAATTCCTTTCTCACTAATAGTCATTACAATTTTTATCTTATTTCACTAAAGTCCCTAAAATATTTTTGTAATAAAAAGTGCAAACTTTATTATCTAAGTATCATAGAGAGTCACTAAACCATTTGTTGTAACCAAAAAAATAACTTATTTTGCTTAAGCAACATAGAAAATCACTAAATAATTAATTTTTAACCAAAAGGCTATCATAGAAAATGTCACATTAATTTCCTCCTAGTGACTTTATGTGGTACCTAGGAAGAGTTGAGTGACATTTTTGTTAAAGAAAATATTTCATTTACGTTTGTCGTATTTAGGTAAAGTTGAGTGATTCTTTCGTATAAAAAAAATAATAACTTTGAGTAATGATGTAAAAATAGAGTGACCACTCAAATTAATCTCATAAAATATTAAACAAACCAGCTAAAAGGAAGCCGAGCGTATCAATCATTACTTAGAACACATAAATAAGGTTAAGAAATACATCAATACAACCATCAAGTATGGTTATAAATATTTATTTGATAAATCACTTAACATAAGGAGGCATACAAAATGTAAATACACCAACGCGGGAAGACACACAATACTCATTGTATACAATATCAATCATGGTACATAGAAATATTTGGCCTAGGCTCAAAATCTTCGGCAAAGGTCTTTTCTTGTTTAAGACCAGCGTCATCATCATGATAACCAGTTACATAAGGCTTTGGCTCGAAATCTTTCGTAAATAATGATTTATCAGCTTCATTCAACTTGGCGTTGTCGTGGTAGACAGATATATTAGGCCTTGGTTCAAAGGCTTCACCTCCAACAGAAGGTTAGTTTTCTTTTTGGAGAGAGGAACTGAATGCCGAGGCATAAGATGTTTGATTGCTTCAGGCATTGGCTCATCTTTCACCACAGCTCTCCAGTATTCTCCAGGGTCTTTTCTTGCATTAGTGTTGCTTGTGTACTGCCCGAGAAAGAAAGACCATAATAAGACTTTTGAATATATTCTATATGAACTTCTTTAAGTTCGAGTACATAATATTTGGTACATGCAAGGGCAAATGTAGTCTTTAATATATGGGTTCGGCAGAACCCAGTAATATTTGCCAAAAAATTATATGTATGCATCCATAAATTCACTAAGTATATATAGAAATCAATTCAGAACTCAGTTGTTAAAACTTGAAATCGTCCTAATATCAAGAATCCACATAATTCTAATGTTAGATCTACCTTTGTAAAAACTTACCAGGGCAAGTGAAAAGAGCAGGATAAGAGCAACAAGCGATTTCATGGTCACTTCACTAGGAATATGTATGACTCAGAAGCTGTTGTTATTGATCTTTGCTTGAAGCATATTATGAGCTTATATGGACGGGTTAAGCTATTATAAAATCATATTGCATGTAGCAAGTTATTGTCAAGCATGTTTAACATGATTCACACACTTTTGACACATATATTATTGGCTTCTTTGACACATATATTATTGGCTTCTTTATTTTTTCTGATATTCAATAAATGTTAGGCTTACCTAGTCCCTAAGACTAGGTGCCATCACGATGCCAAACGGAGGGGAAATTGGGTCGTGAAAGATGTTTCCCTAATATGGATCATGAATCAGACCATTGAATATAAACTACTAACGGAACGTGAATCCAACTGGAATAAGAAAATTGACCTAAAATTCAGTTGGATCAAACCTCTTTTTGTAAGTTTAGCTTTCGCAACTTAATCAATCGAACAAAAACTTGAAAATCATTTTTGAAGTGTAAAAGGTACCCATTAATTATTTTAAATACTTGTTAATTTTCCCGCGCTTCGCACAGTCAGACAACTCATTTTGTTAGTTTAGGTTATATAAAAAAGATCAAGATTTATATTATCAAAATGAAATAATGACACTAACAAAAAAAATTAATTAGAAGACGAGAGTGGGAGGGGTTATTTTCTTTTTCTTAAATTGGTGTAAAATGGAAATAGTAAAAAGAGAAAAAAATGATTTTTTTTGTAAAGCTTCTACATTATATTTTTTTTCATTCATGCGCCTATGTTATGTGAAGAACACGCGGGTGCCACGTAGTTAAAAAGATGTGTAATAGACACACTTTTAAAAGATTTAGAGAGTCACTAAATCTATGTATCTTATGTATTTTGCCTTTTAAATACTTGTTAATTTACCCGCGCTTCGAACAGTCGAACAACTCATTTTATAAGTTTAGCTGATATGAAAAAGATCAAGATTTACATTGTCAAAATGAAATATGTGATGACCCAAAGGGTCATCACCTGTTTTCTCTTTCATTCCGTGCTTTCGAGGCTTCGAAAACCTCACTTTTACTTGCCTCGATTTGCATATGCAGTCCGGGCGCGTAGCCGGAAAGCTTAAATATGAATCCTGTGTAAAAATTGATGAATTTTGATATTAATATGATTAAAGTTGACTTTGGTCAACATTTTTGGGAAAACGGACCCGGACCCGTGATTTGACGGTCCCGGAGGGTCCGTAGAAAAATATGAGACTCGGGCATATGCCCGGAGTCGAATTCCGAGGTCTAGAGCCCGAGAAAAAAATTTTCTCTGTGAAATTATTTTCTGAAATTAATATGGAAATTTTAAAAGGAAATTGATTGGAACGTGTTGGTATCGGGCACGGGACGGGCCCGTATTTTGGTTCCCGTGCCCGGTACAGGTCTTATATGCGATTTAAGCGCTTTCTGTAAAGTTTGGTTGAAAACGGACGTCATTTGACGTGTTTCGGACTTAAAAATAGAAAATTTGTGTTTTATGAAAAGCTGGAAGAAATCATGTGATTTGAGGCTTGATTCTATGTATATGATGTTATTTTCGCGATTTGATCGCACGAGTAAGTCCGTAGGATGTTTTTGAGGTTGTGTGCATAATTGGTTTGGAGCCCCGAGGGCTCGGGTGAGTTTTGGATAGGCCACGCATTGCATTTTTGAATTTGTAAAGATCTGGTATGGAGGCTTCTGTGATTTTCGCAAATGCGAAGACTGGACTCGCAATTGCGAGCTCGCAAATGCGAGCATCGAGTCGCAGTTGCGAAGTCTGGGAAATCCAGGCAGAGGTCGCAAATGCGACGATTTCTCTCGCAAATGCGAGGTGTCGCCTTTCGCAAATGCGATCAGACTTTCGCAAATGCGAAACATGTCACCTAGACCGGGGTTCACAAATGCGAACTTAAGTGTCGCATTTCCCAAGCCTGGAGGGTTCGGAATTGCGAACTCGACTTCGCATTTCCCATATCTGAGGCCTGCAATTTTTCATACTTAGACGAATTTTAACCCTCTTTTCTTCATTCTTTCAAAACCCAAACTCCATAGGCGATTTTCCAAGAAACATATCTTCTCCAAATCATTTGTAAGTCAATTTTTATTAACTTCTTCAATCTTTAACATCATTAAACATGATTTCATCTTAAAATCAAGGATTTTCATGGGTGAAAATGGGGATTTTGGGTAGAACTTAGGTTTTCTTAAAAATGGGGATTTGGACCTCAATTTGAGGTCCGATTTCAAAACTAATCATAGATATGGATTCGTGGGGGAATGGGTAACCGGATTTTGGTTCGAACCTCGGGTTTTGACCACGTGGGCCGGGGGCGTTTTGGGAATTTTTGAGAAAATTTTTTAGGAAATTCATTTTCATGCATTCAAATTGATTTGACTAGCATTTGTTGATACATTCAACTAATTTGTGACTAGATTCGAGCGGTTTGGTGGTGAATTCGAAGGGTAAAGCTATACTAGAGGCTTGAGTTGAGCTTGAAACATTTGAGGTAAGTGTTTGGTTTAACCCTAGCTTGAGGGAATAGGAGTTGAGTCTTGTTTGCTAATTGCTAATTGATTGAGTACGGTGTATAGGCATGGTGACGAGTATCTATGCACTGGTGTCTAGCATGGCCGTGGGTCCGTATATTGTGTTTATTCCTATTTTGTTGTGACTCTTCCTCGTGTAATTGATGAACTCTATATAATGTGAAGAGTATGAGAAGGAATTGTGGTTGTGAACTCTTTGGAGCGTTGGCTCGAATGATAAAGTAATTACTGAGTAAGAAGAGAAAGAAAGAGAAAGAAATGTGATTATTCCCTTGCCGGGATGTGAAAGTTATTATTGTTATTCCCTTGCCGGGATGTGAAAGTTATTATTGTTGTTCCCTTGCCGGGATGTGAAAGTTCTTATTGTTGTTTTCCCTTGCCGGGACTTCTATTACTGTTGTCTATTCCCTCGCCCCATTGTTTGTGATTGTTGTTTGGGTAAGGACGAGTGATAAAGCACGAAGGGTGATGCCGTGCACGATTGTGATATAAATACTAATACACGAAGGAACATTCCATGCCCTGTTTTGATTATTAATGCACGAAGGAACATTCTGTGCCCTGATTTGATTACTAATGCACAAAGGAACATTCCGTGCCATGAGATGAGTGTATAAGCACGAAGGGTCATTCCGTGCCATCATTTTGTGAGGTAAAGCACGAAGGGTGATGCCGTGCACTTGATATGATTGTTTGGGTGAGAATGTGAGTAAAAGCACGAAGGATGGTGCCGTGCAATTGTTGATTTCCTACTATCGTTGCTGTTGTAGTTGTACTGTTTCATTCTTCAATTATTGATTTTATACTTGAACTGTTACAGCCTCTACAGTATGCTCCCCCTCCCCCTTGACTGGTTAAATTCTGTATACCTTTATACTGCATACATATATATTGAACTGCACAGGTTAGTTTGGTAGTCCGGTCTAGCCTCGTCACTACTTCGCCGGGGTTAAGTCAGGCACTTACCAGCACATGGGGTCGGTTGAGCTGATGCTACACTCTGTGCATCTTTTTGCACAGATCACAGCGCCAGAGCAGCAGCTTTTGGACAGCAGTAGGAGCGTTGGGAGATTGACTTCAGTCCAGAGATTCCGAGGTAGCCTTTTTGACATTCGCATGGCCCGGAGTCTCTTCTATTCGTATTTCGTTTCTTGTCCTTGTACCGGAACAGACAATATTGTATTATTCAGACCATGTTTTTAGTATTCTATAGACGTTCATGTGTTAGTGACTCCAGTCTTGGGTAGAGGTTGTAATTGAATTTCCGCACTTGTTTTCAGTTCATTTATATTTAAAACTTCCGTTTTTATATTAGATGTCTCATTGCCTTAGTATTGTCGATGTTGCCTAAAAGGTTAATAATTAATTGGCTTGCCTAGCTCCTAATAGTAGGCGCCATCACGACTCCCGACGGTGGGAAATCCGGGTCGTGACAAGTTGGTATCAGAGCACTAGGTTACATAGGTCTCACAACTCACGGACAAACTCGGTAGAGTCTGAGGGATCGGTACAGAGACGTCTGTATTTATTCCCCCAGAGGCTACAGAGTTAGGAAAACTTCACTTTTGTTCTTTCTTGTCGTGCAATTCTGTTTCTCAAATACTGATTGTCTTTCTACTCTGTTCTTTCGCAGATGGCGAGAACACGTGCTTCGTCTTCTACCGCGCAGCAGCCCGAGCCCCCAGCGGCAGCTCCTACGAGGGGCAGAGGGCGAGGCCGAGGCCGTGCCAGAGGCCGAGGCCGGGGCAGAGCTCAGCCCCGAGCAGCAGTCCTAGAGGTGGAGCCTCATGTTGATTATGATGAGGAGGTTCCAGCCCCAGCAGCTCCGGTGGGCCCAGCTCAGGTCCCAGAGGGGTTTATAGCCACCCCAGTTCTTCAGGACGCTTTGGTCAGATTGGTAGGCTTGATGGAGAGCATCTCTCGAGCGGGTTTGCTTCCAGTAGCACCAGCCACTTCTCAGGCTGGAGGAGGGGTTCAGACTCCTGCTACACGTACTCCGGAGTAGGTAGCTCCCCAGGCTCAGGTTCCATCGGTTCAGCCAGCTGTGGCAGTTCAGCCGGGTATTGTGACTCAGATCGGTGATGGAGCGGCTATGTCCGCAGATGTTTTTAGAGGCTGGATAGGTTCACCAAGCTCTTCACTACCACATTCAGCGGTGCTCCTATGGAGGACCCCCAGGATTTCTTATATAGCTGCCATGAGGTTCTTCGGACTATGGGTATTGTGGAGACCAATGGGGTCGACATCGCCACCTTTCGTCTATCTGGATCCGCCAAGACTCGGTGGAGGGACTATTGTTTAGCCAGACCAGCAGGGTCGCCATCTCTGACTTGGGACCAGTTTGCAGAGTTGTTCATGGAGAAGTTTCTCCCCGTTATTGAGCGAGATGCTCTTCGCAGGCAGTTTGAGCGCCTTCAGCAGGGCTCTATGACAGTCACACAGTATGAGACCAGGTTCATTGATCTAGCTCGCAATGCTATTGTTATACTCCCCACCGAGAGA